AAAGGAAAAAAATTTATTATTTGCAACTGCACCAAAATCCTGATCTAAAAGGATAGTCATGACATCACAAACATGTGACAATGCTAATGTCAAAATATAAAAAAATCTAAAATAAATTATTTTAATGTATTTTTCAAAGAAAAAGCTATTATAAATATTACTCTACACCATAATTCTAATACTTGGTATGTATATTTTTCCATCGTAATAATGGATATGTGCTTTTGACTTTCAATATGAATAATTTCCTAAATAAATATAAAAGGCACATTTTAGATTGCATTCTATTTTAATGACTTAAAAGCTTGTTTGCAAACTTTTTGATCATTCAGGTCTTTATTAATTAATTATCATTGTCCCCTTCCTCCAAAGTGCTTTGATTATTTTTTTAATTATAAGATCTTTTATTAGTCATTGTTTCTATTCTTTGTTATTATTTATCTACAACCTTTCTATAACTTCTATAAACTATGCATAACTCAAAATGCTAGATATATTTATACATCATGGAAGTTCATCATATGTCAAAAAAAAAAAATATGACTCTAATATATAACTTATTTTTATAATTTTTTTGGCTGGTTGTGTGGATTGTGGAATTTTGACCATGTTTATTTGATGGAATTAAGGTATAAAGGGGAAAGAAAATGTTGATAATGAGTTATGGTAAAATTATAATGTATTTTTATTAGTCATTGTTATTATTTATGTGGAACCTTTTTATAACTTCTATAAACCATGCAAATACAAAATTTCATATATATATATATATATGTATGTACATCAAAGAAGTTCATCATACATCAAAAAAAAAAAAATTAACGCTATGATGTATAACTGTTCTTGCAACATCATTGGTTTGCTGTGTCTTGTGGGATTTTAACATGTTTATTCTATGAAATTACGGTGAAAAAAGGGAAGGATATGTTGGGGTTGGCGAGGAGGAGGTTGCTGGATTTTTAGTTTGATAAAGAATGGTTGATTGTGGCTGAAAATGGTTGTTAAAAATTGAAATTTATTGTATTTCTGTCAATGCCAAAACATTGAGCAACGACTCTTTTATTATAAAAAGAAAGCTGCAGATCTTAGTGGTATTTTTCTTTTATTTTTAAACTTCAAAGATTTTTTAGTTATTATTTAAAATATAATGGCAGTCTTGCAAATAAATAGGATTTTATTATTGATTTATTTTTTTGTGTCAACCCGTGAGAATATAAGGTGTTATCAATCTTCAAAACTCAAAACATCAATTGTAATTTAAAAAAATAATTATAAAATAAAATAAAAACCAAACAACATGATTGTTAGGATTGTTTGAGGAATTTTCTAATCCGACCAAAGAAAACAAAACGTTGATCGGAAAGAGCTGGTTATGAATAGAGGACGAGTGGCCCATATACGTTTGGATTTACATGAGAATTGGGAGCATGGACGGGCCATGGAGAACACACCTACTGTATTGATGGCAAAGAAGTCTCAAAACTTATCTAAAAGAGGGAACTTCAGATATTTCTAATCGGAAATAACGAGCAAACAGGGAGCAATGGCTGCTCCTCTCACTCTCCACCACCATGCTAAACCTCCCTTATCTGTAGAAAATCCCCTCCTCACAAGAAACCCCGCCTCCACCTCTACTATTGGTATGATCACAAGCAGCATTGATGACCCAAACCAACCACATCCTTGTATTGTTTCGATAGAAAAATGCTCCAACATGTCCCAGCTCAAGCAAATCCATGCTCAAATGCTCAGGACAGGCCTCTTCTTCGACCCCTTCACCGCCAGCAAAATTGTGGCCTTTTGCTCTCTTCAAGACTCAGGAAGTCTCCAGTATGCTCGTCTTGTCTTCTCTCAAATCCCAAATCCCACTTCCTATACTTGCAACTCTATAATTCGAGGCTGCACCGATAAGAACTTGCATCAAGAGGCACTTCTTTTCTATCAAGAAATTTTGGTTCAAGGCTTGATACCGGATAGATACACCTTTCCCTCATTGTTCAAGTGTTGCAGGAATTCATCCGAGGGGAAACAGATACATTCTCACTCTACGAAGCTTGGTTTTGCTTCAGATACATATGCCCAAAACACCTTGATGAATATGTATTCGAATTGCGGTTGTTTGGTGTCAGCTAGAAAGGTGTTTGATAAAATGGAGGATAAGACTGTAGTTTCTTGGGCAACCATGATCGGGGTCCATGCACAGTGGGATCAACCCAATGAAGCTGTGAGGCTTTTCGATAGAATGATAAAGAGTGAAAATGTGAAGCCTAATGAGGTTACCTTGGTTAATGTCTTGACTGCATGCGCAAGGGCGAGAGATTTGGCAATGGTGAAAAGGATTCATAAGTACATTGATGAGCATGGTTTTGGGCGCCACGTGGTTCTCAACACGGTTCTTATGGACGTTTACTGCAAGTGTGGATGTGTTCATCTAGCAAGGGATTTATTTGACAACGCCCAGGAAAAAAACTTGTTTTCTTGGAATATCATGATAAACGGGCATGTTGAGGATAGTAATTATGAGGAGGCTTTGCTGCTGTTTCGTGAGATGCAAACTAAGGGCATAAAGGGTGATAAGGTGACCATGGCGAGCCTGCTGCTCGCTTGCACTCATCTGGCTGCTCTAGAGCTGGGAAAGTGGTTGCATGCCTACATTAAGAAGCAGAGGATTGACGTTGATGTTGCTTTAGGAACAGCTCTTGTGGACATGTATGCCAAGTGTGGAAGCATAGAAACTGCGATACAAGTGTTTCATGAGATGCCTGAGAAAGATGTAATGACTTGGACAGCTTTGATTCTAGGTCTTGCAATGTGCGGGCAAGCGGAGAGCGCTTTACAATATTTTGATGAGATGCATATCCAGGGAGTCAAGCCGGATGCAATCACATTTCTCGGGGTTTTGGCTGCGTGTAGCCATGCTGGGTTTGTTGATGAAGGCATTTCACATTTTAACTCTATTGATACCTATGGCATTCAGCCTACCATCGAACACTATGGTGGCTTAGTTGATATACTAGGCCGAGCTGGTCGTATAGCTGAAGCAGAGGAGTTGATACAGAGCATGCCAATGGCACCTGATCAATTTGTTTTGGGGGGTCTTCTTGGTGCATGCAGAATCCATGGAAACCTTGAGGCTGCAGAAAGAGCAGCTAAACAACTCTTGGAGATTGACCCATATCATTCGGGAACGTATGTACTTCTGTCAAATATTTATAAATCTTCGAAGAAATGGGAGGAAGCAGAGAGAACCAGGGAATTGATGGCAGAAAGAGGTATGAAAAAGCCTCCAGGTTGCAGCCAAATCGAGGTTCATGGAGTCGTCCATGAATTCATGAAGGGGGATTCATCACACTGCCAATCCTCGGAGATTAACAAAATGTTGGCGGACATGATTTGCAAACTAAAGAATGCTGGTTATGTTCCTGACAAATCAGAGGTGTTATTTGACATGGCTGAAGAGGAAAAGGAGACCGAGCTTAGCCTCCATAGCGAGAAGTTGGCAATTGCCTTTGGCCTCTTAAGTACAAGCGTCGGGACACCAATTCGAGTTGTGAAAAACCTACGTATATGCAGTGATTGCCACAGTGCAACTAAGCTTATCTCCAAACTATACAATAGGGAAATAATAGTGAGGGACAGGAACCGGTTTCACCATTTTAAGGACGGAACCTGTTCGTGCAGGGGTTTCTGGTGATGTCATGGTAAGCATCAAGCATTCTATAGAGTTCTAATAATTTTCACTATGGAGCACCGTGTCCACACAAATGAATAGTTCTTTCATTACTAGATCCAATCTCCTTGAAGATTTCAAAGTGCAGTTCAGGCCCCAAAAACACAAAATGATGCTTTGGGGGCTAAAATGCAGAGAACCCAATTAGGGCACTTGTCTTAAGCTCCAAATAAAATCGCGCATGCATGGTTACAAAAGATGCATATGCTGCAGCAGAAGGCAAGTTGAGCTTATTTAGAGTAGATTGAAGCACTAATCCTCGTGCACTCTTCCATACAAACACTGGACACAGTTCTGGATAGAAATTATTCACAGACAAAGATAAGAAATGTTAGGAACTAGTTTAACTGATGCCGGGATTTTCATTACCCATGGTAAGCAACAAAGATTGACAGGCCAATGGTTTCCACGCATATCAATGGGTGTTCTGAATTTATCAGAGATGAGGAATCAAACTAAAAAAGCTTGTATGCCTAACCAAGGTTAATAAAGAAACACAAAATAAAGTTCAACCTGTACAGGTTTGTATCACACCTAAAACCCCATCATAAAACCCTGGCAGTCTTTTGTAATGCATGCCAACAACAAAGCAATTCAATCAGATTAAATAATTAGAGGAAACCATTGGAAATACACAAAATGAAGAGAAAATTTAAACATAGAAAAAAGAGCCACTGATCAGGCGCTTGTGTATTTCTTATTGTCTGAACTACCGGATATTTTCTTGATCGCACTACCGATGCTCAAACAAGTAATGTGACAAAGAAACTCTTTTTTCTAGAGTCAAAAAACGAGAAGAGTAAGTTCATCATCAATTATGATATGCCAAAAATCAGCAGCTCATAAGAGTCCAGACCAGCAGTTGATTCCTAAATTGCTCTACACTCAATCTGGCAATATTTCACGTGTATCTGGTGATTTGTTCAATAAAAGGCATGTGAAAGGTTCTAAGTCTAAATGTGAGCCAGGAAAAAGATTAATGTCACCCTAAAAGTGAAAAATAAATAAAGAAATGTCTAATGTTATCATTCTTGAGCCATAACCCAATTCTAAGTGGAGTTGAAGAGCAGTAAATTTATACTAAGGACTACAAGCTCAACCTTGGGATTAAAAAACACCTCTACATGAAATGAATGATGCCTAAACACCAAAAAATGATCAATAAAGTAACCAATCAATTCCAACGTAGATAAGACAGAGATTAGAGAGCACAGATAACTTAAAAGGGCAATATCTTTTTAATATCTCATATAACTAACAGAATTGCTACTAATAAAAATAAAACCTCCATAAATCGCAATAATTTTATTCAAATCATCTTCAGTGCTTAATAGACTAGTAACATATGAAAATAAGATCAATCGCACAGAAGCAAGTTTACCAGTTTTAGTCCCTCTCTAAGTCTCTCCATCACCATCGGTCTTCTTGATCAGTTGACTCTCTTCATCACCATCATTTTCATCACCTGTCTGATTAGAAACAGTCTCACGCTGCAATGGAGCACTGCCAGCTCCAGTAACTGACTGCTGATAAAGAACACCTCCAGCAAGCGTGAATATAAGACAAAATAAACCAACCGGGCTAGCATGTTTATCCCAAATAAACACATTGATGACAACAGTAAGAAACTTATTGACAACTCCGGTGACAGTAAACGCGGTGGCCGATATTGCCTTCCTTGCAGCAAATCCGAAGAAACTAATAAGAAAACCAAAAATGCACGACAAAGACACAGCAAAAAATGCATCAAATTCAAACCAGTTCCCAGCTTTTGATCCCCAGGAAGCAAACACCTCACTATACTCCCCCGTAAGAACCCAGAAGAGCGGCGCCATCATCAATGACAACAAATTATTGTAGAACACAAGACCCCAGGTGTTGAGTCCAATATTGGAGACAATGTGTTTGATATAAACCATCTCAGAAGTAATAGTGATTAAATATGCAAGTGCCCAAGAGTAAGCAGTCAAAGTAAAAGCAGAATCAGTGGCCACATAGCCAACAGCACCACCCAATATAACAAACAAGGAGACAAAGGTGAGCTTGGATGGGATGGGTTGTTTTCTAAACAGAGTGTCAGCTATAGCCACCAAAAGGGGTGTTAAGGATCTGAACACAATAAACGTGTCGACATTGGCATGACGCAAAAGATTGGTATTCGTAAAGATAGCCAGATAGAAAACAAGAGCAGCAGGCAAGAACTTCTTGGCAGTTTCATAAGAGAAGGAATCATGATATAAAAACCCCAATTTGCCTAAAACCCAAACACCCAATGCAGAGGTTAGGTACTGTAATGCAGTTAAAAGGCCAGGGTAGTTAAATTTGGTAATTGCAAACTTGTTAATCACAGCAAGCAAACTTGAACAAAGTGCATAACCCACCACAAGACTACTCGTCGCCAATTGCTTAGTGGAATCCACTCGAATCGAAGACATTCTGATCCTCCACCTCCTCCTCCCCCTTTCTGTCTGACAAATTATTTTCGACAAACACAGATCGAAGCGATATGATGTTAAGAAAATTACAGAGAAAAAGTCTTCAAAATGGAAATTGATGTTCTAACTAATTGATTCCAAGTTATACAAAGAAAAGAAAAGAGATTGAGAACCACCGACAAAAACAGCAAGGCGGATGATGGGAAGGAAGAGACAGAGAGAGAACGCGGGATTTGCAAATTTAATAAGGGATGATTATGAAACAAGTAATTGGGTACAATGGATGGGTATGTAATTTGACAGTCAGCTGAGCAGACAAACACCGTGCGATCCTGTTTCCTTCACGTTCCTATATATTTCTCTGTGCGCGTGTGCGCCCAAGGAAAAACAAATACTGGTATTACAAATCAACCCCCAAACTATATAGGTTTTCATAAATGAGTCACCAACCTCTTCATGTTTTACAATTTCTAGCTTGACCTTTCTTACTCGTACATGTTAGTCCCCCTTTGTCGTTTAATAGTCTCTGATATTTGAAAGCCATATTTTACTGAGAGCCCATTGATATATTTTTTTAATTTTCATCAGAATTTAATTAATAGATGTTTTACTATTAATTAGTTGATATTATACTTTAGGGTAACTTTTTTGTTCAATAATAATACCATGTAGTATGTAAGGTATTATTAGAAGAAAAGAGGGGTTTAAGATGATAATATAAATTGTTAGATTTGTACCATGAACAAATTAAATCCAAAAATGATATTTAAAAAAAGTTAAAGAGTTACTACACTTAGTTCATTGTAAGTTTTTAAAACTTAAGGAATGGCAAACATAATAACAATGTGGAAAGAGGATTCTTTCATTACCTACTATAGTAAGGAAGTCGGGAAAGTTTATGAACAATGAAGTTAGCTTTTTGTTTTTTCATTTTTTTTAAATTCATCACTGTATTATTTTTAATAAATTTTAAAATTTACAAAGTCAATTAAATCATATTAAATTAATTATTATATATTTTAATTTTAAATATGGAGTAGATAAATGACTAAGTTGAGAAATTTTTCAATGTCAATTTCATCTTTTTTTTAATAAATTCCATTCTTATATTTTTTTTATTAACCGATTAAGTTATTTTTAGACCAACCACATTGACTGAATCACGTCGAGACAATCTTTATAAAATTTCATTTTAAATTCAAGTTAAAAAAAAATATAGAGTTAAAAGATTTTTTATGTTAATTTTATATATTTGTTTCCTTGTTTTTATCATTAAATTTTTTTCATTAATTGATTAGGTTAATATTACACCAGTCAAGATGGGTAAATTATATTAAATTAATTCTTATTCAATTTAATTTCTAACTTAGACTAAACAAAAAATTAAATTGAAAAATTACAAAGTTGTTTTGTTAGGTTAAGTTTAATAATTATATGAAATAATTTTCTATAATTTAAATAATTTTTGTTCACTTAAAAAAAAAGTTCGTGTGATGCGGGCATGTAAATTAGTATTATTCTAATTCACAAAATGTGAAACCTTGTAGCTTAATCAAAAAAATAATTTCAAAAATAGTACGTTATCATGTTGGGGAACAACAGCAACATTCCCCAGCAATGCAATCCAATTGGTTGCTCTATCATGAACACTATATATATATATAGTCAAATTCATTACTTAAATAACAGATAAAGTGGATTAATACGATTCAAAATTTAGATTGGCATCGATTTAATTTTTTTAATAAAAAATCAATGTAGATTTTGACCGAATTATATATGCATCCATCAAGTCAATTATGTGATATTTATTTAATCCATTTAATTCGAAATATACGCCATGCTAGATAGTGGCCACACCTAGATTTAGGATAGGTTTGCTTTGCACTTTTCTTTATGTTTGTTATGTGAAAATTGTAGTTAGATATTTAATAATATATTAAATTATGTTTTCTACTATGAATTCTATTAAAAAAACATAGTTTTTATGAACCAGTTTCCGTATAATTTTTTTATTAAGTTTTATAAAATTTTATTTATTTTTGTGTTTTTTTTAAATTTTATTTTTTTTGCTTTACTTCAAATTATTATTATTATTTTATATTTTCAGATCATTTGATACATTAATATAAAAAATAAAAAAATTATTTTAATCCATTTCCAAGTTAAAAATATTTTTTTAAAAACAATCACAACTAAATATTATATATATATATATATATTTCATATAAGCCTTAATTATAATTTTTACTCCGCTATTTGAATCTAATTAAAAATATTTAATTATATTTTTTTTAAATTATTTTTTAAAATTAATAATCATAAAAATCACCTAAAATAAATGTACTGTTAATAGCATTGCCGAAACATTTTCCGTGGCAAAACGTTGGCAACCACCTAGTTCCAACTATTTGAGAAAAGAATCTATTGACAGCGACTGAAAATGAACAAGAGAACTCCTATTTCCAACCAAGTGGAATTAATTGCAGAATTCCACCATTCTGCTGTCCATTACAGCAGGAAACCTGTTTAGATACAATAATTCGTTTTTTTACAGCTTTCTATCATAGCTTTTTGTATGCCTACAATGGTAGATGTCCACAACTTCGCAAAACTAATAAACTCCGTCCTTTTTCTTTTTTTTAATAATTGATAAAGTTGTTTTCTAAACTAGTTAAATTACATTAAGATAATTTTTTTAAAATTTAATTTTATTGTTTAGGTTAATATTACAAGATAATTTTTATAAAATTATATTTTATTGTTTAGATTAACATTATACCGGTCAAGATGATTAGATTATATTAAATTAATTTTTATTTAATTTAATTTTTAATCCAGACTAAATAAAAAATTATATTAAAAAATTTCAAAGTTGTTCATAGGTAAAGTTTAATAATAATATTAAATAATTTTTTATAATTTAAATATTTTTTGTTTAGTGAAAAAAAAGTTTGCGGGCATGTAAATTAGTATCAGACTAATTCACAAGATTCCTTGTAGCTTAATCGAAAAAATAATTTAAAAAATAGTACATTAGTTGGTTATAATGTGTGCGTGTAAATAAAAATATATTTCAATAAAAAAAATTTAATAAATCTAGTCAAATTTATGACTTAAATGACAGATAAAGTGGATTGATACGAGTCAAAATTTAGATTGACATCGATTTAATTCTTTTTTTTGTTAAATCAATGTAGATTTTGACCGAGTTATACATGCATTCATCAAGTCAACTATCATATGGAATCCATTCACATCCAGTTTAATTCTAAATACAGGCCATGCCAGCTAGTAGAATTTATTGACAGCGACTGAAAATGAACAAGAGAAGTCCTATTTCCAACCAAGTGGAATTGATTGCAGAATTCTTTTGCACCATTATGCTGTCTATCACAGCAGGAAACCTGTTTAGATACATGAATTCGTCTTTTTAAAGCTTTCTATCATAGCTTTTGTATGCCTACAGTGATATTTGTCCACAACTTCGCAAAACTAACACCCTCTGATGGGGGAGGATGACCAACAGAGAGTAAATGGCAGCTATGGTTATAACTCTATTCCAGCGAGAATTCTTCAAGCCATATTAGCACTTCATTCCTCTTCAATGCCACCAATATCAAAAGAGAGACTGTGTCAGTGGTTTGGGTGAAAGTGGAAAACATGTCACTCGCTCATATTATAATAGTCTGCAACATTAGCATAAGAAACTCGCATCCACCATTGCCAAGGAAGATGCAGTTAGATTCAAATGAAGCAACAATACGAGAGCTGGGCACATTGCAGAACATGTATAGCAGAAAAACGAAAGAATAAGAAGTGTACAAGAGATAAGCAAGTTTATTTAGCTTGAGAGCAAAAAGGAAGTGTAATAATAAAGAAAAGCAAAGGAAAAGGCAAGAAAGTAGCGGGCAAAAGTAATTCTGTAGCAAAGATTTCGTAATTTCAACTATTTCAAGGATATAAAACATTGTTTGTCCGCCATCCATGGCGATAGGCAATAAAGTTATGACTGAATGAAAACCTTGGTTTTAAGTTTATGTAGTTTTAAGTTTATGTCTCCACACTTGCACTAAAATATTGCTAACAGAACATCGTAACGTGAGACTTGATAACTGGCTTAAATGTTGCAAACTGCACTTTAACTATGTGGTTGATTTTGACCACTAACATGAAGGCAACTACGCAAGTCCCAATGAGAGAAGGAGGTGACTTCCACCCATAGATTTGAAGTTGACAAGAAATCAGGAAACAAACATTAGTATTCTCAGAAAAGAAACACAGATAAATTGTAAGTGGAGGTTCTGTCAAATGTAGATTTACTGGTTACACAGCTTTTGAGAGATAACATCTAGAGAATAAAACAGTTCCAGGGTGCAGCTACTAGAATTCTTGTTGTCGCTGGTCCTATTATATTATTGTTGTTGCTGTTGTTGTGATTTCATATTCATCTGCTTCAAGTAAATATGTCAGGGTATACAACTCCTGCAATTAATGTTATTCCATTTTTTCTATTCACTCAGAAGAAGCGTTAGTTAGTTATTAACGATGCGATGTCTGACCTCAGATTCCAAGAAAAAAAAGTAGGATTGAGGGGAACAGGAGAACTAAAGAAATAGTTGAAACAAACTCAGAACAATTGTGAACTGTGCCGTACCATTATGAATTCCCATGTTCGGCCAGGATCATTATAGCGAGCGAGCAAACAACCCATCTTAGGCTTAAGACCATCTTTAAGAAGACACGATCGCAGTGCCTTCTCTTTTTGACAAACAATAGCCTCAGTTGGTTTCCCACTGAATTTATCTACCGCAGCAATGCCTCCTTCCACCTTTCTTATGCTAATTGTCTCTTGATTAGGATTTGGTAAGCTGTTCAAAAAGACAAAAATTAAGTATTGATCACTATTGAATATAATATTATCCTCAAATGTATCCCCTTCAATCTGAAAACATGTAATAAAAATCACCGATAATTAATGCTTGCCATCATCTGAATCCATTTCTAAAAGTTTTAGTTTTGAATTTTAAAGCCCAGAAGAGCTGATGAGACTCGCCTGCTTAAATCTTTCTCCAGAGGAAGAACTATTTGGATGGATACTTGGGACAATCCGGCGTCATTTGCTTGAGTGAACACGGGAGTAGTCATTGGTATTTTCTCCATCGTGGAATTCTTTCCAAAAATATACCTTCAATGATATCCATATTAGAATAGTTATGAAAAAAGGATATATTATGTAATTGAATAGGATCATGATAGATACCCACCCAGTAACATCATTAAATCCATTTGACCCAGACAGCTTATCTCCATTCGCTTCTACCACTATGAATGGGCTGTACTTCCGTACCTGCAGAATTATTTTGATGATAACCAGTGCTAACTTAACAGGGTATGCAAATTGCTGAAAAATAAAAGTAACAGAATTCAGTGCCAGAATTGCCAATTTTACATTTTCCTGGTTGAATATTGCGGTTTTCCTATTGTATTACCACATCAATCTTTCATTTAGTTGCTCCTCACAGGCCCAGGTAATCTTGATGCACATCTTACTGCCTTGACATTAAATTATGACTTGCTGAGGATGTATCTGGCTGTCCTCTTGAGATGATGCTGTAACTATTCTTTTTGGAACTTAATGGCATCCCATTGCATTTTCTTTTCATCAGTTATCCATAATTCCCTCAAAATTTTACTTGACGCAAATTATTACTCAAAGCATAATCCATAATCAAAGAAATGGTTTCTTGCAAAAAAGGCAGACTGACCTCATAGTTTGCAGTCCTTTTCAGTATCTGATATCTGGGTGTTTCTAAGTCAGGAGTCTTGTAAATTCTCAACTGTAAAAGTAAGACCTCAATAAGAATTGGAACCTAAGTACAACTCTAATGGAAATTTAAAGAATTAAAGAACATGTACCTGCTTAACTACATTCCACAAACCTTCAAGAGAAAAATAGTTATTATTCTCTATGGAATCCCAGAAGTCCTGCAAATTAAATAGGAAAAAGATCAATGGTACTTTTGTCGGTGTCTCATAATTTATAATTTTTACACTAGCAAGAGAGGTGGACTTTACCAGATGGCTGCTAAACTTTCCAGTCTGTGGATTGATGCCCATGATAGAGGTTCCTGTGAACACTAATTCTGGTTTCCATGGCAAAAGCATGAACTTCATCACCATAGTCCACCTTGTAGTTATCTCATAAGTTCCTGTCTATAGCAACTGGATCAATTAACCAAGCAAAATCCAGAGCCAGATGTACCTTTGCAATATTCAGAATTGTCAATAAGATGAAGTTGTCTTTCCATCTTATTATTAAAATTAATATTGTTTTCTACTGATTTCAAAATACGCAAAATGCTTTTTAGTATTCTAATTAAGAGCTTGAAACAGAAACTAAACCTCAGAAAAATTGTAGAAAGTAAGAAATGTAGTAACTAAACCCAGCAGCTAAATCAGTCATCATTAGAGACTTCTGGTTCTTTGAAGAAAAGCAAAATTGTTTTACCTATACTACGAATTTTTGATGGAGTCATCAGTTGGCTAGACATTACTTTGTTTTCACAGCCATAAGCATCAAACAAATGTCTTATTATTAGATTGGCATATCACTATGATACAATTAGTAGTATGTAATGTAAAATAGGGCGGCATAATGGAAACATGCAAAGAAGGTCATTTTTTAGTTCTTCCATTGCGTATCTTTTCCGTCCCTAAATCCATCCCATACATTACAGAAGTTTTCTTTGTCAAGAGAGGAAGATTCAGCTTTAAGGTGATCAAAGTCTCTTATGACAGGTAAAATTTACCAAAACAGTAAGGATTACTGGGACCAAGAAGACTAAAATTTGAAAGATGAGAAAATTCGTTTGGGATCAAATTGAACACTATAAATATTGGCAATTGCAAGCTCACTTTCTTATGGTGGAACTGTTGGTAGCATCCCTATGCTAAAATTTGAATAATTCTTCAAACAAATGCCGAAGCTTCTACTGTCATAAAAAATGGCAATTGGAACCAGCTTCACTCTAGAACTGATATGATTGTAGAAGTGCAAAGTGCAATGTGTTGGTGGAGGTATGCTTCCATGTACTGACACTGAAGACAGTGGTGTGAGCTAGCAGTCTTCTCCTAATGTGTGGTTTTTCTACAAAAAAGTGCTTGGTAGCTGATCAGACTTAAAAGCACTAAAGTAGAACGGCTGAAACAGGTTTTGGGGTCCTTTGAGCATTCCAAAGCGCAGTTTTCATTGTATGGCTTTGCAAACCAAATTTTAACAAAAAGAAAAAAAATCCAGTAAGCAATTATTATTATTAGAGCTACAAACCTGTTTGACCCAATGCAAGAAGAACTGAGGCCTGAAGAGATTCTTCAAAAAAGCAATGTTAAAAAGATACCCACTTATACTATCATGCTTTGTGATAGGGTCCCTGAATTTTACACGCTCATCATACGCCGTCCGGTCAATTCCCTGATCATCGAAGAGATGTGGAAGATCATCATACAAGAAGTCCACCAGCTGTTTCACGTCCACGCCTCTTGATTGTGACTGTGGCTGGTTCTGTTCAACCAGGCTTAGCCTGAGGGCCCATTTCAAGTTTTTCCGAGTTCTGATGGCTGAATTTCTTGATTGGCAACAGGTTTGACTGGCGGCCGGTAGAGGGCGGAGGATTTGGAGGGAAAGTTGAGTGGTGGCCATTTGTTGCTCTCCTTGTGAGCTTCTTGGATATACGTGGCGTGGTTTGAGTCTTGATACACTTGTGACTTATTATATCCTATATCCATGCTTCGTTTTGGATAATAATTTAAAAAAATAAGAAATGGGATATAGAAGCTATTTTAATATGTTTTTCTATATAAAAAATATATAGAAGCTATTTTAATATGTTTTTCTACATAAAAAATTTTATATATAAATTAGAAAGTTTAAAAAAAATTTATATATAAATTAAAAAGTTTATTAAACTTTCTAATTAAATATATCAATAATTATCTTTTGTAAATAAATAAAATAAAGTTGGTAATAATACTAAACAAAACTGGAAAGATTAAAAAATAAATATAAATCAAAATATTTGAACTTACAAATAAAATATTTATTTATTTATTTATATTTATTGAATTTATTTATTAAAATTAATAAAATAATAATATAGATAGAAAAAATATGAAACTAGCTAAATAAAATAAAATAAATGGTATGTAAGGTTCAAACATATTAAAAATATTATTTCAAAATAAATATTTTATATAAAATAAAGCTTATTAATATAAAATAAAAAAAATCTTCAAAAATTCAATACAAATAAAAAAATTTCTTTAAAAAAACCATTATTCAAAAAAAAGTTTGAATAACTCGTTGCCTAATTATGAGATTAAGATATACCGATAAAAAAAATTAAAGATAACTATGAACCAATATTTTTTTATTAAAAACTTGTTACCACTCTTATTAGATTAAAAGTATCATAAATGAAAAAACCATGAAGCCTAATTTTCAATAAATCAAAAGCTGAAAGATGAAACTAAACAAATCAATCACAAAAAATTATAATTAAAAGAATAAGAGTGAAAATTAAAATAAAAAAAATAGAGGACATAAAGAAATTTATATTAGAGGTTTTAATTGAAAATAAATATAAGTTTAATAGAAGAAAAAAGGAATAAAAAAAGAGGGTTAAATTAAAAAAATAAAACAACATAAACTTTGATTGAAAGATGAAATTAAAAATAAATAAAATTTTAATAAAAAACCATGAAAAAAATAAAAAATCAAAAGAATAATGACCAATTTTTTTTTAAAAATAATATATGATAAATTGTAATTTAAATATGAAATTGAAAACATAAAAAAATATATAAAAGTGTTAAGGAAAAAAATAAGCAATAAAAAATATAAAAAATAAAATAAAAAAATCAAAATAAAAAAAGATAGACATGTACTTTCTTTAAAAGAGATAAAAAAAAGAAGAAGAAAGAAAACAAAAGAAAATAATCACTAGTAACAAACCACCTATCATTCATCGTAATATGCAACATCATCAAAAAAGGCTGGTTTGGTCTAATCATCTGATAGTGTTGCAAGTGCTACTTAGAGGATGTGGACGTCACCCATGCGTTGGCACATCATGAGTGCACGCTAACAATGATTAGTATTTAAAAGTGTATTTTTAAAGCTGAGACAATTGCCTACAACTTTCATGTTTGCAACTGGCTCCAGTTTTGACGTTATCAATGACGTTTTGGGCAGACAAGAGAAGATAAGGATTGTCACCAAGTCAAAAGTTGGCCACCCACTTATCAATTAGTCATCAAATCAATAGTTCCCAATTTTGGCCTATAAAAGGAGGCATTTGCCATGCATTTAGGTATCTTGGTTTCCAGATCAAGATCATTCTCTTCCTTTCTCTCTTTGTATTTTTTATGCTTTGTTTTCATTAATATTAAGTTTATGCCTTTCATTTCCTTTCCTTTACTTAGTTAACTTTTATGTTCTTATTTTGTTTATCTATTTTGCTTTCTTTCATTATGTCTAGCTAAGTTAGTTATGTCAAGGTGAAAAGGTTACACTAATGGTGTAAGAATAAGTATAATGTAAACTTAATATGGACTTTAATGTTTGATACTAACATGTTTTGTATTTGTTATCTTGTTCACTCTTTAATACTTTGCTTGTTAAATGACTAATCTTGATTTATGTTGTATAACACTTGGTACAACAAATGCTTGGCACTTTCATAGCCCATAATGTATGGTATAACCGACACCTGAGCTATGAAAGGAACTTGATTTGTTGTTAATATAAGTTATAATCATGAATGCTTGATGAGATTTACAAGTATTAGCATTAATTGAATAAGATGACTAATGTAATCATGTTAACAATCTATAATCTGATTGGAACCTCCTTTGTGTGTGGTTTCCAATTGACTAATAAGAGTTTATACTATACTTGTTTGACATACCATTAGTGGATCCTCTAACCTTAACATTTATTGTTATCGTTGTTAAATCTTTACGTTAATATTCCATCTCAAAGTTCTCATCAACTTCTTTTTCTTCTTTTTTTCTTTATTATTATTATTATTATTACTACTAATATTATTGTTGTTGTTGTTGTTACAATTGTTGTTGTTTATAATTGTTGTTTATAATTTGTACAATTAACCTCCCTATAATTCGACCCTGGTTTTGCCGGGTTATTTATTACTTCGACACTCCTGCACTTGGGAGAAGACATCAATCTTTTAGTCGTATTAAATAACTTTTTCCAATAAAAAAATATCATTTCAAGTTAAAAATATTAGAAAGCCTGAGAATTACAAAAGCAATGTGTGAAATGACATAAATATCTCTATATATGTGCTATTTTTTGTCTTTTCTAAGGATAAAAACTTATTTTTAATGTATTTTAAGAAATAAAAAATCAAAACAATTCTTGATCGAGAACTTTTTTTTTTGTTTAACCGTAGAGATAAATAAGCAATTTTACTACTTTAAAGGTTTTTTAAAAAATAAATAACTATTAATTAATAATTTTGATGTTATTGAACTTGGAGGTATATTTGTTATTTTAATATTTGTTATTTTAATGTGCAAAAAAATATAAAAAAAAAACAAACATGACTCCAGATAATTATTTAATGACCAATAATGAATCTTTAAGAAAAAAACTAAACCACCCACACAACCAAGGTTTTTATTTTTTCATAAAGAGTAAATTACCATAGCAATTCACAATAGGCTAGTATTTTCAAGCTACATTTGCTTCTTTCTAAGCCTGTTTTGTAGATTTTAAAAGGGAAATAAGCTAGTATTTTCAAGCTATATTTGCTTCTTTCTAGATTTTAAAAGGGAATTGGGTTTGGAGGGACTTATATTTCACTTGAAAACTTCACTTGACATACATACAAGGAGGCTAGTATTTTCAAGCTAGACATTAGATATTGAATTGTGATAGTACAAAGAGAAATCTCATATAAAGAGGAAAATAACATTTTGATTTTTTTTCTTCTAAAAATAACATATTTAATGGGTTGTGCTGTTGGAAACAACATTACCACACAAACTACTTTGTATCATATAGCACAATTCAATATGTTATGTTGTTGGAAATACCATATTCTATTGAAATATAATTTGCTTTTGTTTTTCAATTCAATTTAAAATTTAAAATAATATTTATCCTATACAAATCAAAACAATTGATTTTAATGATGCCATTTTATTCTGAATAATAGTCCACTTAAATTTTAATAGAACTCCTAATTATTAGGTTAGTTAATAATTATAATAATTATTAATTAAGAAAATTAGTTGTAGTCAAATTAAATTTCAATAAAATTACTTAACTTAGTATGTTAATTAATAATTATAATAATTATCAATGAAAATGATTAGTTGAAGTTAATTTAAATTTAATAGGATTTCTTAGTAAATTAAATGTCGTGAATTTAAATTCCAATAGGATTACTTTCAATTTAAATTCTAATCGAATTCCTTAACGTAGAGGTTAATTAAAAATTATAATAATTATCAATGAAAATAATTAGTTGTAGTCAAATTAAAATTCAGTAGGATTCGTTGGAGTCCATTTACATTTTAATAGGATTCTTTAAGTTAATTAATAATTATGAATAAAGTTTCGGGAATAAAACAAAATTAGTAAATTAACTGAAAAATTAAAAATAAACCAATTAAAAATAAACAATTAACATTTGTACAAAAATAAAATTATGGAGAAATGTTTTTTCTTAAACAAAATTGTTTTTTTGACTAATGTAACTTTTTTAGTTTTGACAACAAAATGTTTTTGTTATTCACGTTTATTGAATAAAAGGCAAAATAAAACATAAAAAATATTTAAAAACTATAACACTTGAAATAAAAAGGAATAAACATACATCTTTAATAATAAACCTAATTTTCTTATTAACATATTTTTTCATTTTGATAAAAACATGTTTTTTTTATGAGAAATATTGTTTTTTAAGAGAAAAACTTATGGAAATTGTGAAAGAAAAATTCAATTAAAACATTATGAATTAATTATTTTTACGCATCTATATGAAAAAATATGAAACCATTAAACTTGAAAACAAATATATAAAAATTTACAATAAAAAAATTTGAGAAAATAAATATTTTATTCTTATTCAATATTAATGAGCAAATTATTTAAAAAAATTCTATATATATGGTTGTTACATGATTATCCATAAAGCAACCGCTAATATCATCTTAAAAAAAACCATAATCTTTTGAAAAACAACAACATAACATTTTATTAGCATCATATTTTTTAAATAAATGTAAAAAGCAACAATTAAAATAAAAGTTTGCCAAAATTTTCAATTATTTGAAACAAGGAGGAAAAATATATTTATCAAATCTAAACTCTATTTTTTTGTCAATAAATTTATTTATTATTTCACTAAAAGTATGGTTTTTAATTGGAAACATTGTTTTTTTTTTTAAATAAAATATTGTCATGATCTCAAAAGCAAGTTTTAATAAAAAAATATTAAAATAATAACTTAATATTTTATATGAGATTGAAAGCAAAAAATAATAATTAAAGATAAAACCATGTAAAAAATCTATTAAAAATCAAAGAAACATGAATTTTATCTTCATTGAATATTGAAGAATAATTTTTTATTTTTTTTATTTTTTTGCATACTAGGCATATTATAAAGAAAATTAAATGGCATATATATTTCTCGATAGCTTTAAACATATAATACTATGGATCATGACAATGAG